TGTGTGTGTGTGTGTGTGTGTGTGTGTGTGGACTGACCAGAAGGACCAGCCATAGTCCCAGCTGTGAGGCCTCCAGTCTTCAGGACCTAGACTGACTGTGATCTGAAACACCTGAGTGTACATCATATGGGCCACCATACCCAGAAGACCTGCAACACATACACACTGTCATTACCCTGAGATCATATGTTCCTGAGCTGGGTTATACATCAAGATTATAGGTAGATGACTTGCCATTACTGCATTGGCTTTCAGAGTTGAGCCAAACTAACACATTGTTGGTCAGAAATACATCTGAACCATGAAATTGTATGAGTGGAATTTCAACTAGGAAATTTTGTTCATGCAGAGGCCTGGGCTGGCAAGAGAACTACAGGCTAGAGGAAGTGGTACACCTGGAGAACGCAGATATTCACAGTCCCCAGAGGATGAATTTAGTGACCACCTGACCATTTCTTCAGCACCGCCACCAGGTCAAAATCCAAATTTTGAAAGCTCAGAAAGCTAAACTGTCTGTATGTTTTCTTGTGACAGTACTAACCCTCAGAACAAGATAATCTTCCATGATAATTACAGTGAACAAAACAATAATAAATCACATGATTTGTGAGCTACAGCGCAGCAGATTATCAGCAATAAATCAAAGCTCATGAAATTATCATAATTAGCCTTCATGCATTATCATTTCATTTACCATGCCAGTTATGAGACATCAGATCAATTAGAGATAGGTATATAATCACTCATAAATGTACAGTAAATCAAAAAAGCCACAATGGAAATGAGCCGGTGTGACATTAATGCAGTGGTTATACATCACAGCCCCACAATCTACCACAGACAGCACTGTGTGTGTGTCACATGAAAGTGTTTGGAGAGTTAGAGCTACGTCTGCTTGTGATCAACCTCACTGAACTGCCTTATTGAACATATTTTGTTGGAGACAGTGGTTTTTCAAACTGTATGTGCCATAAAGTCTTTTACAATTTCAGCCTAACAGTTTTTCTGTCAGGTTTGCTCGGCCGCTCTGGCCTCCCTCACCTTTCCTACTGTCTCTTGCCCATTAACACTAATCACGTTCACCTGTTCCTCACTCCCTTATCACCAGCTGCACTTGATTAGGTTGCTCACTATATTACCTGGTTTCACTCCTCAGTCACTTGCCAGTTCGTTCTAGTCTCTAGGCCATTTTTTCTTCATGCGCTTTTGTTATTTGTATGTATTTATCCCCTAGCCAGCTACTGTTTTGTGTTCTCCCCATGGACTGTTCCTCCGGACCGTGGCTCCACTCTCTCCTCCCAGGCAGGTCAATGCTCAGTCGCCTATCTGTTCCACTATTGCCTTCATCTCTCTGTCTCTACCTTCAGTAGCCACCATCACCACCGACCAGCCCAGGAGTGACCCAGCCTACGCAGCTCGGCCCAGCCCTCCATCTCCTCGCCTCCTGCTGTTGGTCAAACACCCGGCTACTACTCATCGACAGGACTACGCACTATTTCCCTCTGTGTATTGTTACTCTCATCATCACTGTACATAATAAAATCACTGCTTGCATCGAAGTCGGCTACCTGGGTCCGCCTCTTTCTCGTTCGCTCACTGACAGCTGCGTACGGCTTATAACATTTTCCTCCAGTAAAGACCGGAATCCATATAGATTTTAAAAACGTTACTGAAATTTTCCTAATGAAGGATAGTGAGCAGCTTCTCGTGTCATTTAGAAATGTGATTCAGGTCAGATCTATAATTTGTGATGCGGTGGAGCATGTAAGAGCCTGTAAGACATGTTTTAAAATGCATCATGCTCCGTTGGAAATGTCCTTAGTAAGACCTCATGAGGAAGTGTACAGTATGGTGGGCGCAGAACCAAGTTCTTGTGTAAGAGGTTTTAACATGAGTTGGGAGAAAAATCCCTGGCCCCTGACACAACAAAGGCATCCAGGGGATAACCTCTGACCCTGGACAACCTCACAAATCTGTATCAGAGTCTCTCCTCTCCCGTTGTAATTACTGTATCAATGTGCATGGAGAAGGGAAACAATTCTGTTCATCCTACCGGAGAGTACGGTGAAGACGGCGGCAAAGGCATTCAGTTTGAGTCCGTCAATGACGTTGCTTGAGTGGAAAAGCTCCAAGCACATCAGACTGAAGCCGACCACCAGCAGCAGGATGTAGAGCACCTCTGACACCACTGACAGCCACAACACACCTGCAAATGCAACACACACAGCTCGGTTATACACATAAATACACACACTGAAGTATGTGTACTAATGCCATCAACAACATAATAAATTATAATGTCCTTGACCTAGTTAGCTGGACTTTCTTTAAAAAAAAAAAAAAAAGACACCTTCAAAATGCTGAACTCCATGTGCACTGTTTCCACATGTGGAGAAATGCAAAGAGTGACAGACCTGCTGTGATTGCCAAGCTGTGACTGAAAAATCCCTCTTTGGCACAAGGGTCTAGACAGCAGTGAAATGGGCAGGTTTTTCAAATTTGACACAGTTCAAGAAACATTTGATTGTAAGTAGCTCCAACAGATGAGGCAGGGCTTGTGTCTGATTTTAGACTCTTACTCCACAGTGGACAGACCCGTATACGTGTAGGCAAAGTTTAGTGAAGGATCGATCATGGTGATTAATTTGCTGTTTCACAATAGAATAAATGTAGAACACGTGTTTCGAAGCATAAATATGGTCAGATGTACTGTAAAGTTGTCAAATAGGGCTCAAATGATTTGTCATTTATCTTGTGGTTTTACAGTGCCTTGCGAAAGTATTCGGCCCCCTTGAACTTTGCGACCTTTTGCCACATTTCAGGCTTCAAACATAAAGATATAAAACTGTAATTTTTTGTGAAGAATCAACAACAAGTGGGACACAATCATGAAGTGGAACGAAATTTATTGGATATGTCAAACTTTTTTAACAAATAAAAAAACTGAAAAATTGGGCGTGCAAAATTATTCAACCCCCTTAAGTTAATACGTTGTAGCGCCACCTTTTGCTGCGATTACAGCTGTAAGTCACTTGGGGTATGTCTCTATCAGTTTTGCACATCGAGAGACTGAAATTTTTGCCCATGCCTCCTTGCAAAACAGCTCGAGCTCAGTGAGGTTGGATGGAGAGCGTTTGTGAACAGCAGTTTTCAGTTCTTTCCACAGATTCTCGATTGGATTCAGGTCTGGACTTTGACTTGGCCATTCTAACACCTGGATATGTTTATTTGTGAACCATTCCATTGTAGATTTTGCTTTATGTTTTGGATCATTGTCTTGTTGGAAGACAAATCTCCGTCCCAGTCTCAGGTCTTTTGCAGACTCCATCAGGTTTCCTTCCAGAATGGTCCTGTATTTGGCTCCATCCATCTTCCCATCAATTTTAACCATCTTCCCGGTCCCTGCTGAAGAAAAGCAGGCCCAAAACATGATGCTGCCACCACCATGTTTGACAGTGGGGATGGTGTGTTCAGGGTGATGAGCTGTGTTGCTTTTACGCCAAACATAACGTTTTGCATTGTTGCCAAAAAGTTCGATTTTGGTTTCATCTGACCAGAGCACCTTCTTCCACATGTTTGGTGTGTCTCCCAGGTGGCTTGTGGCAAACTTTAAACGACACTTTTTATGGATATCTTTAAGAAATGGCTTTCTTCTTGCCACTCTTCCATAAAGGCCAGATTTGTGCAGTATACGACTGATTGTTGTCCTATGGACAGAGTCTCCCACCTCAGCTGTAGATCTCTGCAGTTCATCCAGAGTGATCATGGGCCTCTTGGCTGCATCTCTGATCAGTCTTCTCCTTGTATGAGCTGAAAGTTTAGAGGGACGGCCAGGTCTTGGTAGATTTGCAGTGGTCTGATACTCCTTCCATTTCAATATTATCACTTGCACAGTGCTCCTTGGGATGTTTAAAGCTTGGGAAATCTTTTTGTATCCAAATCCGGCTTTAAACTTCTCCACAACAGTATCTCGGACCTGCCTGGTGTGTTCCTTGTTCTTCATGATGCTCTCTGCGCTTTAAACAGACCTCTGAGACTATCACAGTGCAGGTGCATTTATACGGAGACTTGATTACACACAGGTGGATTCTATTTATCATCATTAGTCATTTAGGTCAACATTGGATCATTCAGAGATCCTCACTGAACTTCTGGAGAGAGTTTGCTGCACTGAAAGTAAAGGGGCTGAATAATTTTGCACGCCCAATTATTCAGTTTTTTATTTGTTAAAAAAGTTTGAAATATCCAATAAATTTCGTTCCACTTCATGATTGTGTCCCACTTGTTGTTGATTCTTCACAAAAAATTACAGTTTTATATCTTTATGTTTGAAGCCTGAAATGTGGCAAAAGGTCGCAAAGTTCAAGGGGGCCGAATACTTTCGCAAGGCACTGTAAGTGTCTTGTTCAGGTTTTGTTTGAAACTCCTTTCCATTTTATTGGAATTGATTTTTTTGAGAAAACATAGTATTCTCTGTTGTACAGCTGGGACTGCCACAGTGTAAATGAACTACAATCCACAGCATTATGTTTAATTTTAAAATGAGCATGTCCTCAAGTGAAAATCTTAAATTAGAGTCTGTCTGGAACAGAAGGCACAAAGTCTGGGGCTGGTGCCAGAAGAGAACTGCAACTTGCTGGACTGTGCTTCTCTTATTCTGATTATATTCCTCCTGTAGTTCTGTATTACATTTTACTGTAGTACATTTTCAGACATGCACACTGACACAGAAATTCACACAAAAAAAAAGCAGAGTTGTGCTGAAAGAGCTCCTGGACTCTGGAGGTCACTTGTCAAACATCAGAAGCTTTTCCACCCTGTGCTCAAGGAGAGAAACCACTGAAACTTGTTGCAGAAGCAAGAGGTGAAATGAACACATGAGAGGGTTTAGACAGAGACTGGATTCAGGGGGCTCATAGTTTGGACTGAAGTTCATTTGACCAAATATGCATGTTTATTGTTAAACTATGACGTTTGCTTTAGAGAAGACAATATAAGTTCGGAGGCAACTGGCTCATCTACAGCTCAGTGGTGGGTCAAAGTGAATACAAACTGAATATAGGGTGGTTTGGGTGTGAATAAGATGCAGGATTTTCAGGAATTAACTATAAACAATATTTTCGTCAACACCATAAAGCACAGAATATAGAATAGGAGCAACAGGCGCAGAAAATCTGTTAACCATTTAACTAAACATGACAAAATGTCTCAGCTGCTGCACAAGACCTAAAGAGGGACACACACCAGCAGGTGTTTTAAGCTCCAGCAGCTAAAAACCAGTGCTTAAACTGCCTATATGCATGACCTGCTCTTTTTTTCCTTTGGCATAACCCTACATGGTGAATAACAGTCCTGTCCTGTCCTTGAGACCTTAATCAGGACAAAACACCGACAGCAGTGAAAATGTCAAAGTGATTCACAAATCACATCAGGGCTTTACAGAATCAGAATACTGAAGCTGATCAGGTGACATAAATCCAACAGCACCTGACAAAAGATCTCAGTTTTTTCTCCTTTTCTTCTAATAAATGTTTGACTGAAAATGAGTCATGCAAATATTTCACTGGCAACCATGCACCTGCAAAACACAATAATCAACCCACATTTAAGCTGCTTTTGCATTGAACAAGAGGTTTCATGTCCTCACTTTCCCCAAACCAACAAAAAACAAAAACCACTAAAGAAACTAGAGCTTCTGCATAATGTAACATTTCAGTCCTGACAGTAATACACAGCCACAAATCAGTAATCTCTGGACTGTGTGCTGCATTCATTTTAAGAATAAACTCCACCTCTGACTGACACTAACTACTTCAGGTTAAAAACTTTAATATTCTCCACCACTTTTAATTAAAAACCCATAAGAATTCATCATTTCATCATTATCTACCTTGCATCTTATCTTCAATTAATTTCTTTGTTTTTAGGCTCTTAATTTCTTTTAACATGACTCATAATGTTTTCATTTGTATCTTAAAGGTCCGTGCTGTGTTTACTTGCTGGTAGTGCATTGTGTAAAGCACTTTGAACTGCTTTTACAGCCTATGAATCATGTAATTTGATGTGTAACATTTGTCCTGTTATATGCAAAGAATATAACATTCACCATTTGTAAATTTTTCTCTCCTCCAGGCACAAACTGAGGGCGGTGACATTTGAATGACCTTCCACTTATTTCGTCATTGTTCATTTATCCTGTGTTTGATGATTCAAGACCTCCTGATAAAACTTAGATGAATCTTTGGAGAATGATGACAAATCTCTCCTCTCCAGGCTGAAAACAAGGTGAGACATTTGTTTCTGATCGGCCTTCAGGAGAAGGGGAGGGTTTGTTTGATATCGCCACCTGTTTGTTTGACACACATTGATTGTTGGCTCTTTACTGCGCCGGCAACGCCCTTTGGTCATACAGAGGAAGAAAAAAATCCCATCAGGATGATGAACAGGTTTTACAACCCTACTGTACTTCACACTCTGGAAATGAGCATGTTTTATAGCGGGGAGGAGATGTCATCCTGTAACTGAAGCTGCCCTCGGGATGCACTCTCACTACAAGAACTTTTTTTTACACGGCTCTCCACATTTATAATTTCTACAAGGCAAAAGCTCTTCTTGAATCAGTGAGGCTCAAAACATAGAATTAAACAGGATTATCTTCTCTGCTCGGCTCTGTCTGGAGTGGAAGTACGACCTGCAGGCTGTGTTTTCAATTCTGACATCATTGAGTTTCAGAGAGCCACAGGATCCCTGAATGGCCAGTGCTGATGGCTGGCTTTGTGTCACACTTCTCTCTTGCCACCAAGGCAGCTTCTTTCTACATGTAAAGTGTTTTATATTACAAATTCTATATAAGGTAAGGCAGAGGAGCATTACAGTACAGCCAAAGAGCTAATAAAATCAATGGTTACAAGACTCATAGCTTCACCAGCTATTGCTACTTTTACATGAGCAAAGGATCTGAACACTTCTTTCACCACTGATCAGCACAAAATTATGCACATTTATACTGGCAGGAGGATTTCAGATGATAGACCGGGTCACAAGATTCATTCACAGATTTGTCATATTTCAAGATAATGAATAATTCTAAAATAATTCCTGATAACAGAGGACAAGTGCACATGGGAACAAATGCAAAGACTACACAAGCATGGGAGCCTTTAGTCTGACGTCTTTATCTTTTCTGTTGAAATCAAGCAACTGGGT